ATGATCATTTTCTTTTCCGTAACAATCACAGTTGACAATCTTGACGTTTCAAGTAAGGGAAAGCACGAAATATATCGGGGAAATTATGGAGTAAAACAGACCGAAATAAGAATAGAGAACAAGAATGCATAAAACCAGCACAATAAATGCTTAGAATCAGACAATTAAACTCTACAGTTTACACCGTGTAAAATTACCATTATCTTTCCATTTTGCCCCAGATTTTTGTCTCTTATTCTTTGTCTCTTCTGTGTTTCCTAATATTATAAAGTTCCTTACTTCCTTTGCGGCTTAATAATCCAAGCCGATGCTCCTGGCAGCAATAGACTGGCTTCCGTTTTATATTATAGACACAAAAATTAAATGTTTTTCGTCTTCTTCTTCTTCTTCTTTCTTCTTTTATAGGGTTTTAGACCATTTTTTTAGTCTATATTCCCTGGATCCTTTCTTGCGGTTTTTCTTTATCTTCAGATAATATCTATTATTCTTGATCTTTGTAGAAATATCTTTGTATGTCTCAAGATGTAATACTTCTTCACAGGATGTTGATTTGCTCCTGTAATTAATAAATTTAAGTCAGGGTTTTGTATTTCTATTTTGTTCAATGCTTGTATTAATTTTGTTCTGTATGAATTAAATCTGGACATTGTAATATTAAGTGTTCTGGCGTTTCTTCTTGGTTACTACACCATCGGCACATAGGGTCTGCTTCTATTTTTAGTTTGTGTAAATGTTTTTTAAGTCTTGTGTGTTTTGTCATAAGTCTTGCAATGGTCACATCTATTTTTCTGTTTTGTGATCTTGTCCATGGTTGTGGGTTGTGATCTTTGATTAGATAATTTTTTGTGTTTAGTATTTCTTTTAAACTGTCTTTCCAGTTTTCTTGTTTTTTCATTTTTATTTCTCTTATTGTGTTTGTTGAATTTTGTGTCATGGTTATGGGATCTCTAATTTCATGAGCTTTTTTTGCTGCTTTGTCTGCAATTTCGTTTCCTTTTATATTTTTATGTGAAGGAATCCACTGTATTTTTATTTGTTGCTTTTGTGTGTTTAGTAATAGTAGCAATGATTGTATTTCATATGTATATGTTTATATTTTCTTGGTTTGTAGTTTTTTATTGTTTGTATGGATGCTTGTGAGTCTGTTAATATTACTGTTTTCTGTAATTTATTGTTGTTTATATAAATTAGTGCTTGTTTTATTGCAAATAATTCTGCCTCTATTATTTCTGTATTGTTTGGCAATTTCCATAAGGTTGTAATGTTTTTATTTTGTATATATATGGCAGCTGTTGTTGAGACTGGTTCTTTTATTTTTGATCCGTCTGTGTAAATTTTTTGGTAATTTTGGTATATTGTATTTTCTATGTAGTGAAAATGTTGTTGTATCATTTGATGTGGTGTGTTTTTATTCATGTTTTCCATGAAGTTTGTTTCTATGTCTTTTATGATGTCAGACCATGGAGGGATTGGGGAAATATTAGGGACTGTGTCTACTTTTAGTTTTACTTTCCATTTCTTACATGTTTCTATAACTTTATATAGAAGTTTTTTTTGTCTTTGTTCGGTTTGAAGTTTTCTATGCATTTTATGGATAATTGTTTTATTGGTAGATGGTTTTCTTTTTCTAAATTTTTAATCAATTGAATGCATTCTAATTCTTTTATCCTATTTGTTATTGGCATTTGACTTGTTAAAGTTTGCAGTGCTATTATTGGAGTTGATCTGAGGGATCCTGTGGCAATTCTTAGTGCATAGTTTTGAATTTGTTCTAATTTTTTAGATTCATTTTTGTTTATTCCACTATATATTGTTACTCCGTATTCTATAATAATGGTTTTATATATATATTAAAGAATTTTGTCAATGTCTCTCTGTTTGCTCCCCAACTCAGTGAGGTTAATTTTTTCATAATATTCATCCTATTCATCGATTTTGTTTTTACATATTCGACGTGTTTTTTCCATGTTAATTTGGGGGCATCGAATATCATACCTAATATCTTATGAATATTTGTGTATTCTAGTTCTTCGTTTCCTATTTTTATTATTGGATTTTGTTCTAGTTTTTTATTTGTGAAGCACATTACTTTACTCTTGGTTGGATTTATTTTAAGTTTCCATTTCTCTGCCCATTCTTTTATTTTGTTTAGACTTTGTTCTAAATTATTTTTTGCTTCTACTAGATTCTCGTTTGATGTTATTAGGGTTATATCATCAGCATAGATTACTTTATCAGTTTCCTTTGGGAGTTTTATGTCTGACATTACTAAGTTAAATAAGGTTGGGCTGATTGGAGATCCTTGTGGGACTCCATTTAATATTTTTCCGACAGCTGATTTTTTTCTCCGATTTTAATTTGAAAAGTTCTATTGCATAGGAAATTGTTTATCCATCTTATTATTTTGCCGCTTAATCCTATGTTTTTTGCTTTTATAAGGATAGTTTCATGATTTACTGAGTCAAATGCTTTTTCTATATCGAGACATGTTATTAGGGCATATTTTTTTTCTTTAATTGCTTCTCTGATTTTCATTTCGATTATCTGTATTGCATCTATTGTGTTTCGATTATGTCTAAAGCCTATTAGGTCTTCATCTAGCTTATTTTTCTCTATCCACCAGTTTAATCTTCTTGTAATTATGTTTTCAAAAATTTTGCCTATGCATGGTGTTCTACTAATAAATCTATATGAGTTGGTTTTGGATGGGTCTTTATCTGATTTGTAAATTGGATTAATTATTGCTGTTTTTAGTTCTTGTGGGTAATTTCCTAATTCCCAATATTTATTAAAGTTTGTTAAAATTATTTCTATTATTTTGGGGGGGCATTTTTGTAGAATTCATATGTTATACAATCTGGCCCATATGCTTTCCCATTTTTTGTATTCCTTATAGCGTATGCTAATTCTTCTAATGTTATGTCTTTATTTATATCATCCTCATTGTTACTATTTAATATTTCTTCTTTTTCTGTTCTTGTTAATAGTTTTTCTGTTTGTCTACTGGTTATGTTTTCATATTCTTTCCTAAATAGTTCTAGTTTTTTTGATATTTGGGTGACTGGGAAATTATTATATATCAGGGGGTAGTTACTTTTTGTTATTTTTCCTGTTTGTTTTTTTATGAAATTCCATATTTTTTTTGTGGGGGTTTTAAAGTCTATAGAGATGCAAAATTTTTCCCATGAATTCCTTTTTTCTATTTCAATGACATGTTTTGCTTCTGTTACTAGTTTTTTATAATTTAGTCTGTTCTCTATGCTTGGTCTTTTCCTCCATTTATTATATGCCTTATTTCTTCTTTTTATTATTTCATTACATTTGCTATTCCACCATGGTTTATTTGGTTTATTATTTATTGTTTTATTACTGTATTTGAAAAATTTCTCTCCCGTTTTTTTTAACAGTTCTAACAATGTTTCCATCGTCTCTATATTTACATTTATTTTGTTTAGTTCTAAAATGTATCTCTGCCATCCTTCTTCTGTGAAATTCCACTTTCTTTCTAAGTTTATTGAGTTTATTTGATAATTGTCTTCTTTTATGATTATTGGAAGGTGGTCGCTAGCTAAGTGTGGGCCTGTTGTAATTTCAAAATGATTTATCGTCGGTGATCCCAAAACCAGGTCTAATGTAGATTCTTTATTCGTTATTGGATCTACTCTGGTTATTTGTCCTTTTGGTGTTAGGAGTATAATATTATTTTGGTTTATCAATTTGACTAAACTTTTTCCTGTTACATTATTTAATTTATTGTTATTTGTGTTCCAATTTGGATGATGTGCATTGAAGTCGCCTATTATTAATTTTGGGTCTTTGATTGATCATAATAGTATTGAAATTCTTCTTCTCTAATATTATTACAAGGATTATATATTAATATCATATTTAGCCATTTTTCTTTATATTGGACTTTTACACCTAGGATTTCTATCCTATGTTGGTACATATCATTTAAATTTAGTTTTTTAAATTGCACGTCTTTCCTAATGCCTAAAATTAACCCTCCACCAATTTGATTCTTTCTGTCTTTCCTAATTATATCATAATTATTTATTTTAAAATTATCTTTATCTTTTAACCAAGTTTCGCATAATGCGATTACACCTGGGTTTTCTTTATAGATTAAATAATCTAATTCTGATTTTTTTCTATGGATAGAATGGGCATTCCATAGAATTATTTTATTCATTTATTAATCTAATTATTTGTTTTAAAATTGGGGTAAAATCTTTTGTTGTTTCAATTATTATTTCTAAAAAGGATTTCTTTGAATTTATATTGTTTATCAAATTTGTTATTGCATTGATTATAGTTTTTGTGGTAGTTACCCAGTTTGAATTCTCTTTATCTTCTTCTTCTTCTTCTTCTTTTCTGTTTTTTCCCTTTTGTTTTTCAGTGTATGTGTTTGGCACGGGTGATGGGTGATGGTGTATTTGGGTTAAAGGAGTAGTTCTTGAGTTTGGATGATGGGAGTGGGTTATTGGTGTGGGTAAAGTCCATGTTACTGGCGATTGTTCTGTATTTGTATTTTTTGGTTTGTTTGTGTGGTTTGGTGGTTTTACTGGTTCTGTTTTATTTTGTTGTTTATTTGTTTCTGGTGTTAATTTGAACTGGATTGGGTTTCTCTCTGTGTTTTGTATTTTTTGTCTTGGAGGTGTTCTCTGTCCTGGTGTTACATTTTGTGTTGATGTTATTGCTTGTGCATAGCTCTGTGGTGTACTCTGGTTTTGGTTTTGATTTGTGTTTCTGGGATATGTGTTACTCTGTGGTGTATGTTTTGTTTTTGTTATTTTTGTGCTGTCTTGTTGGGATTCTTTGTCTTTGTTGTTATGATTTGTGGTTTGTTCTGATTTTGGTTTTAGTTGTTGTAGTTTTTTCTTTATATCTGGGTTATTTGGTGTAAAATTTTGTTTGTTGATTTCTTGTGCTTTTTTGTGTATGTCACATTCATTGCTGTTTGGTGTATGTTTTTCATCACAAAAGAAACAATATTGGTCATTCATACAATTTTTAAATTCGTGATTAATACTGCTACATCTACTACATCTTTTTTTTTTTACAGGTTAAGATCCCATGTCCATATCTCAAACAGTTATAACATTTCGGGATTGGGAAGGTATATTGCTGTGTCTTGTAGGATGTGTGTCCAATTATAACTCTCTCTGGTAGTGGTCCTTTAAATGTAATTCTTAATGATTTTGTTGGAGTCCATTTTTCAATTTTGTTTTTATCGGTGTTGATTTTATTAATTCTTATTACATCTTGGATGTGTGAGATTTCATTTATAGTTCTTATCTTTTCTTTTATTGTTTTCATATCCAGTTCTGGTTCAACTGGATATATAGTTGCGT